ATTTATGTAAGGATACGCAAAAGTTTTCACCAACATTTAATTCTCAACGGCGTCTACGGTGGTTGATAACAAGTCGTAGTGTGTTATTCTAATAACCTCCAATGAATGGGTTGTAGTAGAATACAAAGCATCTAAATGGCCTTGTAATTCACATCCAATGAATGTTAAAGAGGATAACGCACCCGTGATTATTATCGTGGTCCACCAATCAAGTATGGAGTATTAGGCGATCAACCCACAATCAAAATGAGAATACATTAGTATCCAGATCTAGTCCGCTGAAGGTAAAGACAAAGACAGAAGGTAACCAATTTAGGAGCACACTCTAAATTAGAATACATCCTGTCTACGGAGGTACGCCCACTTTGCACCCTCAAAACAAAATGAGAATACATCCTGTCTACCTAAGACTTAGACTTAGACCAAAGAAACACCCTGTCTCACAATGTCTGATTGTGTTTAATCTCACACTTGTAATTCTCATTCTAATGAATGTTAAATACCGAGTATAATTCTAGTTTGTATATGTTTATAGTACTCTACCCGTAAGTTTAGTTTGTAGTTTTAGTTGAAGGAGTAATTAATAGTTGTTGTATATAGCTTTTGTGTAAAATAGTATAGCTCTAAAGTGTGGAGTACTTTTTAGTATAAGGAGTAATTAATAGTTTGAGTAGTCTGATTTGTATAAAATAGTATACCTCTAAAGGGTAACAGAAAGTGTGGAGTCCCCCAAAAACGTTACCCTTTAGAACTTTACTATTTTATACAAATCAGACTACTCAATTTATTAATTACTCCTTATACTAATAAACTTTTACACACACTCACACAAAAAGACATATTTTTATATAAACATATACATACTCACATAATTAGGCTCGGTCTCTAGTATCATTCAATATAGAACACGGTCACGTCTCAGGGAAGTGGCGCATGAGTTAGATATAACTTATGAAATCATCCCACGATAGATAATACGTTCATATGATTGAGAGCGATACGTTGACTCTATTAACGCCGTTCTTCAGATAAGGTAGTTGGAACCATGCTTTTACGCCCGACTACTCTGATGCTGAAGGAGACTTGATCACACATTACATCCTAGAGACCACGATAATAATACCGGGTGAGTTATCCTCTTTAACATTCATGGGATGCGAATTACAAGGACAGTTAGATGCTTTGTATTCCACTACAACCCTTCCATTGGATGGGGATTAGAATAACACACTCCGGTGAGTTATCAAACAGCCTAGACGACGTAGAGAACACTTTAGCTGGTAGCGTATCCTCCTTCTATCCTACTTTTGGAGTGGTGCCTAATCCTCTTTTTGGAGTGGGACCGGATTTCCCAATTTCTGTATAATATGCCGTGAAAATTACCCACATCACTTAGGAGGATTCACTAATCGAATTACAAGGACTGTTAGATGCTTTATATTCAAATACTACACATCCATAGGAAGGGGATTATAATAACTAACTATGGAGAGTTATCAACGTGCGTTGAAGCCGTAGAGAATGAAATGATGGTGAACACTTTGGACATTTTCAGTATAAGAAGCAGTGACAATTACCCACATAACTTCAGAGGATTCACTAATCGAATTACAAGGCCAGTTAGCTGCTTTATATTCAACTACTACCCATCCATAGGAAGGGGATTATAATAACTTACTCTGGCGAGTTATCAACCTGCGTAGACGCTGTTGAGAATTCAATTATGAGGATTCACTCCTTGAGTTGGAATTCCTATTACCCCACAAGCCTTATGAGGATTAACTCCTTGAGTGGGAAAGCCTATTACCCAACATGCCTTGTGAGGATTAACTCCTTTCACAATGTGTAGAACAGGAAAATTCAATTGCCTTAGTTCTAAAACAACCAATAAATATATAAAATTAATATTAAACGAACTAAGGCAATTGAATTTTCCTATTCTATGAATGATTTCAGCTCACTCCTACGTGGTTTGAGTGCTGTGATATGGGTTGGATAGCGACTATGCGTACCATGTTTGATCTTTCTTGCAGTAATAGGCTCCTCGATCTCACTCAATTTTCCTTCAATGATTGAAGAAAGTGTGTTATATCTCTCCTCCTCAGAGGGAGAAGGCCTATCCTCTTCCTTCTTTTTGCTGTCCATATAGACTCGGATCATGAGTCGAACTATATAATCTTCGTCGTATACTTCAGCATATTTCTGAATATATCGAGATATATGAGCATAGACATCACTTTTTGGAATTAGCTTACAATCCATATAAGTGAGGGGTATAGCCTGACAAAGCGTAAATGTGATCTCCTCCCCGAAAGAGCGCTTCATGGTTAAGGAAATTGTGAACTTACCGTAACCTGATAAGGAAGGGTAAACTAACTGGTTTAAGAGATCCATGGTTGTAAGACTAAGTAGCGCAATCTCGTTAACAAGAGGGTATGGCTCATTGAAGTAATATGATGCTATTATTAAACCAGGATGAGGTTCATGGTATGCAGTTCGNTATTGGCTTGTTGAGTGGGCATCATTGTATTGTCTGAAATGATTCTCACATAGGCTTGTAGTGGGATTTATTTGGGTTATTGGTGCCACTGAAGGTGCGCAGCCTAAGGTAGCACAACTTAAGGTGCGTCCGCCCTAGTCACTAAACCTTCACGAGGTGGGCTTCTTCACCTCCACCTTTTCCTCTACCTCTAATACAGGGTAATCTCCTTCCTCGTCGTTCTTTTTAGTGTCCTTTATGTGGCATGATGCTAAAACCAATATATAATTTCTTAAGTCTATATCTCTCTAACATAAATTGCATCATATCACGTATAATCACAACATATAATTTAGTAAACATGATATATTCATAAAAGTACAACTAGGTAGAACATAATGCTTCCATAAATCATATAGTTAGAGCTTCACATATTTGATACTAAATTACATTCAATATTAGTAAACAAAAAAAAGTACATGCAAATTAAAGACATTTCTTTATCTTATCTTATACCAGACATACCTGTTGGTGCTAGGACATCGATGGTGAAATCATGGAACGTGGCAAGCCTATCTCGTAGGCAAGTCTACCGAATCTATAACCTAGAGCTCTGATACCAACGGTAACGACCCTAGATTTCTATTAGCCTAAAGTTGCCACCGTCATCATATCCTATGCTCTTATACGAAATTAAGCATTTAAACTTCATCTTAAAATAGTGTCATGGACTTACTCATTTGAAAGCATCTTTAAAACAACATAAAGAAATAGTAATTAAAACCATTAAAACATCAAAGTAAAAATGCCCTATACTAACCTATGCCTAAGAAAATTAAATACAACTATTCTATGCACGTGTCATTATCTCTATTTGTGATGTCCTCGTCATAGGGGTTTCTAGCCCTTACCTAAAATAGAAGTAGCACAAGGCTTGGTCTCATAAAATATCATTTCATGCATGTCGTTGGTATACCATGGAGGGAAGGGAGTGCACATAGTATTGTGGTGTATACAATATCGTATCATAACATCATTGTTAACATAAATATCGTAAGGTACGTGTCCGTACTAATCATGAAGGGGTTACAACAAGTCATATAACAATCAAAAGGTGTCTGTACTAATCATGACGGGGTTACAACAAGTCATAACATAATAAGCAAATATAACACAATCAAAAGGTATGACACTTGTAACCATCATCACTAGGCATGCGCCGCTCAGCTCACAATTAATCAAACAAGTCACCTCTAATTTACCTTAAATTCATGGTAAGCTTATTCCCAACACTAGAAGGAGGTTTTGAACCTTCGACCTTGTGGTTAACAGCCACACACTCTAACTAACTGTGCTATTCCAAGTAATTATTTGTAATAGCTCAAGCCCACCACACCCTTATAAGGAATGTTTCATCTCCTCTCCAACCAATGTTGGATCTCACAATCCACTCTCCTTGGGGGCCAGCGTCTTCGCTAGCACACCACTTTGTGACTAACTTTGATAGCTTTTGTAATAGCCGATGACTAACTTTGATAGCTTTTGTAATAGTCGATGACTAACTTTGATAGCTTTTGTAATAGCCGAAACCCACCGCTAACAAATATTGTCCATTTTTGTCCATTACGTATTGTCATCAGTCTCACAATTCTACAACACGCTACTAGAGAGACGTTTACAAACACTCATAAGTTATTCTTCATTCTCCTCTCAAACCGATGCGGGATCAGAGGGCGTGGGTTCAAATCCCACGTCTGACTACTCAAATAAAGGTAAAATAAAAATACAATTATCACGACATGATTTTCCAAGATCTAAGAAATTTAGTGTTCTTCAAGTTTACCCTTACGCCCGAATCTCAAGGACACTGTGATTTTCTGTACCGCTTGGGTGCATAACAAATGTGAGTTGTGAGCCTCCAACAATATCTCATTCCTTAATTCCTCAATTGTCGGAATATATAGGCGTCCTTGACATAACCCTTCAAAGAAACTGTCTACTCGACCTACTGTTAACTACCTCATAATATATATGAGCATAGACATCACTTTTTGGAATTAACTTACAATCCATATAAGTGAGGGGTATAGCCTGACAAAGCGTAAATGTGATCTCCTCCCCGAAAGAGCGCTTCATGGTTAAGGAAATTGTGAACTTACCGTAACCTGATAAGGAAGGGTAAGCTAACTGGTTTAAGAGATCCATGGTTGTAAGACTAAGTAGCGCAATCTCGTTAACAAGAGGGTATGGCTCATTGAAGTAATATGATGCTATTATTAAACCAGAATGAGGTTCATGGTATGCAGTTCGTTCTATCTTTTGAAATAAGCGATTCAATAACTGTTCAGTAGTAGCATTTATAGTTTTATTTTTGTACGCCATCATTCTTTTTTTATTCATTATCAATAATGGACGCAGAAAGAATTCTTCAATTTATATGAAAATTGATTCCACTTTTCCTCATGTGATTTCCATGATTCATAATCACTATTATTTTCACCGCACACTTTTTTCACATAGTGACTGTAACAAGTGACTATTTCATTTATCTTTTTATCCCAAAGAATCTGGTTCTGCTTACTTATATTCTCAGGAATATTTTTAATTAAAAATTCAGTAAGATATTCCTTGGAAATAACATGATTTTCATAATCAAATGAATTTATACGTTTAAGATTTTCGATAACATTTATATAGATGAACTTGTTAATGATTGAAAGTGGAGGGCCCAAGCTACGAAAGACTTCGAGATAAGCCATTAGAATAAATCGGCTTTTCTCAACAGTTGTTATAAAGTTGTCGTGGACAGTGTATATAGGAGCATTACAATTCAGAATTTCTTCAACTACTTTCATAGCTATAAAGGCATCCTTCTGATGGATGAAATTGACCAAGGTAGAGATCTCTGTCTTCCAACGATCTCTCTTAGAAGAAGACACTCTGAGAGTAACCCGACGCCTCTTCTTATGAAGTCGGTCATATACCCATATATAAGTTGACTCCATTTTCATATAATCCTGAACACTTGTAAAGTAACTAACATTATATTTAACAGCACTATCCCTAGAAGACGCGACCCAGCCTATAAGACGTATCAACCTGATCAGGCATTCCATTCCTGGATATTTTTCTTTGAACAACTTAAAGCAGGCCACATTGAAGCATTCCTTACTCGTAAGGTGTTGAGAGAAATGTACCATCAGATCGGTTGATGTGCTCATTACAGTTTTTCCATAGATAATTGGCATAAAGATTGATTTAACAATCTTACGAGAGAGGTGTTTGCAAACAACCGAACATAAATTTGGATCAAGTTCTGCTTTCATGAACTCCTTGAGCTCAGCGAGGAAGTACAAATAAACATCTTGGATTTGATTTGGATTATCCAGAGATAGGAAGAGATTTGTTCTCTCAGCCAGACTCTCATCCAATAAAAAGTAACTCATAATCTGATATGCACTTGATGCAGCGTCCTGGGTAATAGGGACAAAGTCTTTTAAAAACTGAAATTTGTGATTTAGCATTGCATAAATATTGGCTGCAAACTGAAAAGGCCGTTTAGCCAACGTTATGTTTTGAGATATAATTTTATTGTCTTTGTTATTAAAATTNTTACGAGAGAGGTGTTTGCAAACAACCGAACATAAATTTGGATCAAGTTCTGCTTTCATGAACTCCTTGAGCTCAGCGAGGAAGTACAAATAAACATCTTGGATTTGATTTGGATTATCCAGAGATACGAAGAGATTTGTTCTCTCAGCCAGGCTCTCATCCAATAAAATGTAACTCATAATCTGATATGCACTTGATGCAGCGTCCTCCTGGGTAATAGGGACAAAGTCTTTTAAAAACTGAAATTTGTAATTTAGCATTGCATAAATATTGGCTGCAAACTGAAAAGGCCGTTTAGCCAACGTTATGTTTTGAGATATAATTTTATTGTCTTTGTTATTAAAATTGTTGATAAAATCCACTGCTTCAACCATTGAGTTAAAGACTTAAAATGGAAGAATGTTGATAAGCTAATTTCATCTCTTATATAAGAATTACACTTTATCTCCTCCTTCTCATGATTATGATCAGCAAACACAATCAGGCTTCGTGCAAGATCACACTCGTGAAAATGCAAAATACCACAGCGATAAATTCTACCTCTGAAGTCAAGAAAGGCGGGTAGGCAAAATTTATAGCCATCGTAGTCTCTTGCGAGATTGAGAATTAATCGTTCATAGCGTGAACGCTGGATAGTCTTAATCACTGTATGTAACAAATCGTTAAAGGAAAATTCATTGTATATTACCTCATCCTTCATGTGGAAATCTCTAAGAATGGGGCTAACATCTCTGATATTCATCGTTTCCAGAAATTGTGGCATAAGAAGACCATGGTCAACAAAATAGTCTTCATTTTCCATTAAATGGTTCAACCAATCACTGTTGATTGTAAAGGGCGCTGCAGCGCATTCATGACTTTACACATAGACTTGTAATCATTCTTATAATAAGAAGAATAACCTACATATATATAAAAGTGATTTAGGTCACCAGAACTTAATAAGCGGTAACGATCATAAATCTCACCAGTCGGTCCACTTAGGTAACCCCCTGATAGATCTGAGAGATATCTAGGAGATTGATTCGGCGGACACGCACTCATCCAATCAAGAGGTGGGCATATCATAGGAAGGTTGAGCTTGATCGGAAGTAAAGTAACATCAAAATTACAGACAATGAATAGATTGCTTTCATAATAATAGCCACCTTTCGACTTTTTCTTAACACCACTACCAAAGGATTCCATTGTAATAGAACTTACCAATCCCCGCTCCTCCATAAACTCGAGTAAGAAGACACCGAAGGAAAAAGTCTCAGACTTTTCCATTTTATCAGACATATGAACATTAGAAATGCTCTTTTTAGAGGAGTGGAATTTTAATAACCTATAATGTGTACGTACAGAAGAGTCGAGTTGATTAATTAAAGAAGCTGCACGAACCATACTTTCATATGTGTTGAAAACAATTCCCAGAACGTGAATAATTAATACCTCTAGAGTATATTGACCGAACTCTTCAAGCATTTTTATGTCATCATCATCAGCTAATTTCTCAATTATATAATCCTTTGCACTCAATTTATCCTTCTGTATTAAGATTTTAATAAAGTTAGGAACAACATTATATATTGAACTCTCGTCGAACTTCATACTGTCATCTTCTATTTTCTGTTGTAGCTGACGTAATTCAATTTTCGATAAAGGAAACTTCGATTTATATTCTTCCATAAGATTCAATACTGGCAGTTTATACAATTGTGATTTGCTCCTCTTAACGTCTTCTCCCGGAAATTTCAATTTATTTTTTTCCTCTAAAGAAGTATAAAAATGATTTAAAAATACGATTAGCTCTTGAGAATTTTTTTGCTTAGAATTCAAAAACGCTAAAATCCATTTATTTTGCATTGTGTTATTTTTTGTTGTTGTTTTTCCTCGTTGTTGGTTTATCGAACACTGGGTATTAGACAAGATGTGTAAAGCATGTGTGATCCTGTCTCGCGAAACAGTACCTACCTCTAAGAAAGGGTACGATTTCAGGTACATATTGTACTTTGACTTTGACTTTGACTTGTTGTTACTTGTACTCTCAAGGTTAAAAATAGTGTGTACTACTTTAACTTGTACAGAATATGTGTATTATATACCTTTAGGGAACTTTGATTTAAGGAGTAATTAATAGTTGTTGAATGTGTTTATTGTTGAATGTGTTTATTGTTAAGGAGTAATTAATAGTTTGAGTAGTCTGATTTGTATAAAATAGTATAGCTCAAGGGTAACACTTTTTGGTGGGAAATTAGAACGTGTTTAAGGTATGAACTCTAAGAAATTAGGAAGGTTTGAAATAAGGTTGAATGTGGTATCTAAGTTATTCCAACATTAATACCCACACGAGATATGAAGCTTGAATCTACTTGATTTTTTTTTAGTGGCCAGGACAACTTGGCAGAGTTAAGGTAGACCCTGCCATAGACACATGAGCTACTAAGTCAGGACTTCACACTCCTCAACATTTGTTTTAGAGAGCAATATCTCTAGTCGTTAAGAGGAAATAATGGGCACACACGACGATATATTGAACATTAAGAGTTGATCCAGATAGTTATTAAAAAGAAAAAAAAAACATGCATACATGTAGAAACAAGGGTTCCCTCAAACATATGAACTAATAAGGCAAGGTTAAAAGGTTTTCTCGGAGTTCGACATAGTTGTGTGAGTTAGAGTGATGTTGTTGGGCTCACTAATTTCCCATAGCTCAAGTAATTTTTATGAATTAGATATTTAACAAGGTTTCTAAACTTGTTTTATAATAGTGTTCATATCGATTATAGGAGGCTAATCAGAGACAAAAAAGATAACAAGATGAGCCCTTAAGCCAACTTGATACCTCTATATATTGAGCGTTATACCAAACTCTCCGATGTAGAGTCTTGGTTGAACAAAAGTATTTTCCTTAGACATTGAATATTATAGAATATGGTCTGGTGAACCATTTTAAAGGAGGAACAAATTGTAGTTTGTCTAGACTTATTTAGAGATATAAAATTGTAAGTTTCCTAACTTTGACAAGGTAGAAGGTTTGTTGAAAAGTTTTGAGTTTAACTCATTCAATACATGCGATCACAACTCGCACTTACAATGAGTTTGTGAGAAGAGATTTCAAAAGTTAAGGAATTTGCTGGCCTTAGTTATAGTATAAGGATGTACTAGATGATATATGAAGGTAAGTAAGAATTAATGATGTTATGAAGAGATGACTAGTTAGAGTATTAAGACAACTCAAAAAGTAAGTATCCAAATTCATATTTACCAAACGAACATGAGATTATTTTCCTCATCCTTAATGTGAATACCACACTAAATTACTGATACATAGTGAGTGAATCCCAAGTTGGTTAAGTTCTTCAACGTGGTAGGTCACATAGATAGTTGTTAAAGGATATGCCCAAACCGTTGGTTAGTGAATCTGATGGGTACTCAAAGGTTCAACAACTTAGAGATTATGTCATGGAATTCTTTCTAGGTTTACATAAAATAACGAAAGGACACACTACCATTCGAGTAGTGGTGGGCTGTTGCACTCACAAGCTTACACATGTACTTTGGATAAAGTCTCGACCCTATGGGATATACGCAAAACTTTTTCATGTTTTAAAACTACGTTATTTCTTACTTTCTTGTTTTAAATTAAATGTGTAAGTCTATGACTTCATTTGAAAATGTATCATTTCAATGTCCGCATATGTTAATTAAGGCATGCATGTTTGACACCTCTAATTAAGGTAAGAAATTAGGGGTGTTAATGTTGGTATCAGAGCCAGACACTGAGTGGTGTATTGGGGAGAACGAATAACAGTGTATGCATTGATTTTCATTTAGTAGTTGACAAATGCATTTTTAGATCTCACATTGGTTGGAGAGGGAAACAAATCATTATTTATAAGGGTGTAAAAATCTCTCCATAGAAAAAAGCATTTTAAACCCTTGAGCAGAAGCCCCAAAGGAAAAGTCAAAATAGGAGAATATTTACTAGTGGTGGGCTTGAACGGTTACAAATGGTATTAGAGCCAGACATCGGGCGATGTGCTAGCGAGGATGCTTGGGCTTGAAAGGGGTTGGATTGTGAGATCCCACATTGATTGGAGAAAGTAACGAGTACCAACAAGGATACTGAGTCTCGAAAGAGGATGGATTGTGAGATCCCACAACAGTTGGAGAGGGGAACATTCTTTATAAGGGAGTGAAAATTTCTTTATGTGTTTTAAAAACGTAAGGTATTCTCGAAAACCCGAAGAAGACAATATCTGCTAGCGATGAGCTTGGGCTATTACAATTTGCAAAGCCACGAGCACGTGTTATCATACAATACACAATTATAACCAAATGATGGTAAGGCCACTTACTTGGTTAGCCTTCGAAGCAGCTACAACCATTTGACGTTAGCTTAATGCTGGCCTCTAAATTTTAATTTTCCCTAAGAAGTCCAACAACCATAAATTAAAATTTTATTATGGAAATTAACTCACCTACTTTTGTATAAAGTAATTTAAACTTACTCATAAGTATATAAACTAACTAAACCTACTCGTACATTAATAATTTAAACTCGATTCTAAAATTTTAACTAGGCAAAAGATAGTCATACTAATTTAAGCTTCTGAAAAGTTGAAAGAAGAAAGTGTCCGAACGTATCAAACCCAAGCCGGATCAGCCAAAATATTAACCTAGAGCCGTCAAAATATGTATTTTTCGAATGACTTTAAACAGTTCAAGTGGGCTTATAAAATGAAGTGATGGACCTCCCTTTTACCATGGGACAATATCATTAATTCTCTTAAAAACATCTTTTCATGATACGGGGTTACAACACTACGAACTTTAAATATAATGTTTTAAAATGAAGTGATTGGCTAGATTAGGAGCTATTGATCTGCAAGTTGCATAAAACCTTTGATCCATTAGCTCAGTTTGTTAGAACGTCGCGCTAATTAAGTGCGAAGGTAGCATGTTTGCCACTTGGATGGGTCAATTTAATTAATTCTCACAGATATCTTTAATGATACGGGGGTAAAGCACTACAAACTTTAAAAGATAACGACCTAAAGTTTTATGTTTATTATGCATAAAATTATGTAACCTAAACTCGATTGACTGGTTTAGGAGCTACTACTCTGCAATGAGTATAAAACTTGTGGCCTATTAGATTAGTTGGTTAGAACGTCGAGTTAATAACATGAAGATTGGATGGGCTAATTTCATGATGACTTGAAATTAAAGAGTTTTAAGTTTTTTATGCATAAAATTATGTAACCTAAACTCGATTGGCTATATTAGGAGCTACTACAGGTTTGACACTTGCATGGTTAATTTCATTCCTTCTCAATAATGATATATTTAATGATACTAGATTTAAAAGATAATCACTTATAGTTTTAAGTTTACTATGCATAAAATTATGTAAGTGAAACTTGATTGACTGAATGAGGAGCTATCGATCTACAATGTTCATAAAACCTATGGCCTATTAGCTCAGTTTGTTAGAATGTCGGGCTAATAATGTGAAGGTCGTTGGTTTGACACCTGCATGGGCCGATTTCATTTCTTCTTAATAATATCTTTTCATGATACGGGGTTACAACATTACGAACTTTAAAGATAATGACTTAAAGTTTTAAGTTTATCATGCAAAAAATTATGTAACCTAAACTCGATTTATTAAATTATGAGCTATCAATCTACAATGTGCATAAAACCTATGGCTTATGACTGGATTAGGAGCTAACGATCTATAACGTGCATAAAACTTATGCCCAATTAGCTCAGTTGGTTAGATTGTTGTGTTAATAACGTGATGGTTGTAGATTCGACAAATTACATAGGCCAAATTTTATTAATTCATAATAATATCTTTTCATGATACGGGGTTACAACACTACGAACTGTAAACCGATAAGACCTGCGAGGTAACCTTTCTCATTCACAATTTTTCTTTAGTCGTTCGATATGTTCTTCTACGAAGAATGAAACTCGAGGATTTCTGAGGGTCCTTTTAGGATCAAGGAGGTAAATGAACTTATTTTGGTCGTTCGATATGTTCTTATACGAAGGATGAAATTTGAGGATTTCTGAGGGTCCTTTTAGGAACAAGAAGGAGGTAAATGAACTTATTTCAGCCGTTCGATATGTTCTTCTATGAAGGATGAAATTCGAGGATTTCTGAGGGTCCTTTCGGGAACAAGGAGGTAAATGAATTGATTTTGAAGGCCAGATTCAGTATTGCGACTCTCAGGAGAGAAAAATTTCCGGCAAGCCACATGTCAACTTGTTGGAGGGAAAGCGCGTTAGACAGCCTGAGGGACACGTATTGACGATTGGGTGGAATAATGTGTTATGCGCATTGTCAGGAGAAAATTTTCCGACAAGCCACGTGTCAACTTGTGGGACAGAAAGCGCGTCAGATAGACAGCAAGCCACGTGTCAACTTGCGGGAGGAAAAGCATGTCAGACAGCCTCAGGGACACGTATTGACGATGAATGGAATAACGCGTCATGCGTGTTGTAAGGTGACGCGGCTCCACTCGATTTGCAACACGTGGTAGCTCTTCCAACCCATGCCCACATCTAACCGAGTTTGACTAGATAGATGTTTGACCCGATCAGTATGGTGCCAAGCTTCAATGTAAAGAATCTCACTACCCAACGCACTCCTCCGGTTTTGAACCCACCACTCA